AAAGCGGGGCCAATTACTCACGGCTATCTCGAGGTTAGGGGTAACAAATTGCAACAAATAGATGGCAGGGTAGGGATTGAGAACACAAGGCTTGGAGAGCAATGTGCTCTTGATCTCGAACTAAGCGACCAACTGATGAAAAAGACAAACATGGGGGTACACCGATGGACAGCTAACAACTTGGGGGAACACAAGATGACACTAACTACTATATCCTCAAATCTATCCGTTTTAAAAACACATAAATTAAATTGCAATAGTCGAGATCTCGGCTCGCCAAGATGTCTCTAACGGGTCGCATAGGTTTTTTCCTCGGGCCCTGAGGGATGCGGATAACTCGGATCTAGCAACACAATGGAGGGTACATGACCAAAGCACGTGGTCGATATCGTGATAGCCACTACCACAAGCGCACAAATTGCTGCCTGCGAGCCCGATTCGGAAGAAATGCGAGTCTAACGAGTAATGATTGGACATGAGCCTTGACATGACACGCCTAAGACACGGCTCAAGTCCAATCCTTTGAACCGCGGCTTGTTCGATACCTGTGGGAGAATAGCATGTAACCATCTTCCCAGATCGCTCTTATTCCATTTTTGTTGCCAGTTGGTGAGGACTTGCTGACGGGTAATTGAGAAAAATTCCGCAAAGGCGATTTGTCGATCAAAAATATCGCCTTCCATAGCGCCCACCTTGGCTAGCGAGTCCGCGTTCTCATTACCCGGAATTGAGCAATGAGATGGGACCCAAACTAAGGTGATAGTATAGGAGCAGTTAGATAAAGTACTCAATTTAGCAATTTAGGAAATACGAGGAGTGCTTCATCGGCCTCATTGATCGAATAGCCTCCAACGAGCTAAGGCTATCTGTAAAAATAAAATAGTGATCAGATGGTAGTGAGGCAATTTGCTCTACTGCGTAGAATATAGCTGTCAGTTCCGCAACGTATATGGAACAGGGTTTTTGCAGTTTATATGAGGCGCTATGAAATTCGTTGAATACTGCAAATCCAGTGGAAGCGTTTATAGTTGACCCATCTGTGAAAAATCTGTTATCGTTACTTACATGGTGGTACTTGATTGCAGAAATTGAGGGAACAACCATCGACCGATGGTGATCTGGTATTCCATGGATTTCTAGCATCATGGTCAGATCAAAATTTACAGAGGAACTATATAAGGCTTGAAAGCAATCACGATTGGAGATTAATGAAGAAGGGCCAATCTCTAACGTCATGTACTAGTAATAGAGACTCATGAATTTTGTTTGAGGTTTTCTGTCGAGCAGCTTCTCAAAGTTTTCTATTACCAATGGGTTCATTACTTCACAACGGATAAGAAACCGGAAGGACAGATCCGCGAAACGATCTGTCAGTGGGAGAACACCCGCGAGTACTTCTATGCTCATTGCATGCGTCGAGTGCATACAGCCAAGCGCGATTCGGAGGCAACGGTATTGAACCCGTTGCAGCTTCAGGATATGTGTTTTCGCCGCGGATTGAAAGCAGAAGCTACCGTACTCTAGAACCGACAAGATGGTTGTTCGATACAACCTGATCAGATCTTCCGGTAGTGCTCCCCACAGTCGCTCGTTCCCTTGCCTCTCCGAAATCCAAATTGCGTATCTGAACGTAAACCATTCGACTCGACCCATTTGTCTAGACGAAAAAGAATCATTTTCTCCAACAATTTCCGTATACAGGACAGTATCGCGATGGGACGGTACGAGTTATAATCCGACGCGGGTTTACCTTGTTTTCGAATGGCGATAACTCTTACTTGCCTCCAGTCATCCGGAACAATGTTGTCATGCCGTAGCGTTATATCTCATAATAGAAGTCCAGTTATGAAAAACCACCGATCGGTTGGAAATGAAGTAAATATCCAACCGTCAACTAGTGGGCAGTAGCATAGTGATGATCCAGGTTCATCAATGAGTGGCCATCAATCCGTAGATGATCTAGGTAAGAACAGTCATGCTGATGATTCTATCAACTTTTAACTGCAACCTGATAATCACACTTATTTTTTTTTATTTTCTTCTTTCCTTGAGATACCGTACACTAATAAAATTCCACACATTTTTATTGACGAATTTCCATGTGAAATTCCACATGATTTTCATGTGACCACACATAAACAGAATCCACCCAGAAGCACACATGAAATTTATGAGTCAAATAAGTAGTATGTGTGATTATACATGGCTTTTATGTGTACACATATTAAGTATGAGTCCGACACATAAATATCATTTGTTGATCACATTGCAAAAATGGATGTGTGGGACACATAAAAACAATCTTTGAAATTTTATCAGTGTACCATCGGTTCCATCATTGGAGTCAGTTCCATCAGCAGATGATCTGCAACGCCCATACAATGTTGAGAAGTTTAATGGCTTTGTGGAAACGTTGATTCAACAGTTGAACAGTGATTCCTCGTGGAAGTGCAGAGGTGTTCTCGGCTTCCATCAAAGCGAGTGTGACGTCAACACATTCCTACCCCTTCTTTTCTTGACCTGTGTTCGGGCGTGGCCAGCGCTGGTATTGCCTAGTTTGGGATCACCAGTTTTTACACATTGAGGATGATTGCTAGTCCCAAGCATCGTCTATTGATTCTCTGTGTAATAACAGCTGGTCTGGCAATAACAGAGTAGCAACCGTGGGCGGTCAATCATGCTCATGCTCATGCTCTATTTTTTTTTCCCCCTTTGGTTTGTTTTTTCCGTCGATCTTGTTTTCCGTGCTGAGCACCAATGCTACCGACGTGCCAGGAAGGCAGCTCCCACACCTGGACCCTACCTATCGACCCATCAACTTCCCGTACTTCCCGTGATCAGAGATGTTATGCCTCAAAACATCCCGGTGGCGCTGACTGGGATTAATCCCAGGCCTGCTGGGGTGAGAGGAAATCACGTTTACCACTACACCACCGGCGCCGCTAAAAAAAAAAGTTGCTCATCGTTTTCTTAGAAAGTTCACCGATGGCAGACACGAAGTGACTGCTGCCAGCCGTTATGGAAGTTTCGTTTTCGTTCGCGTGTACAGCAAAAATCATGAAACTCAATCTCACCACAGTTTGTTGAGATTTGCAGCTGGTGAGTGAGCAGTTGTTTGCTTGTTGATTTTTGTCTATGAAATCTGTGATCTTGGGCACTGGTGAGATTTAATTTTTTTTAATATATTTTCCCAACACTGGATGCAATATTTAAGAGCAAAATTGTAATTATTCTTTATATATAAGGTTTATCTCTTTATTTACAAGGTTTTCAGGCTCGTTCTCCAATTTTAATTAGATTTAAGTTCAATTCGAATAACCTCCAGGCAAGCAGGAGGCAATAAAATCTGGTTTTCTAAATTAAATTTAATTAATTCCGTTAGAACGAAAGAAGAACTTGATTCCAGTGCCATTAGTTTCGTTCATACATCGTTTTTTATATTCATTGGAGAAATCAAACAATAACACACAACGTAAAGCACACCCTAGACATTACACCATTTTCAAATGATAGCCTTGCTTTATTTTTCAAGGAAAATTAATTTACAAATTTGCTTAAATAGACGAAAACTGAGCATCCAAATCTTAAATAGAATTTCGAGATGGTGCTGCCAGCCCCATGAAAGCTTTCGAATGAAATTCGTCCAGAGATTATTAATTTGTTATGCTGCCAAACACATTAAAATTTCATTGTTTTCACTTTGATGTCCCATGCATTTTAAGCCAAGCATATGCCTGCTCTTAACTGTTTTCAATCGCTATGATATTCTCTTCCCATAAAAGTCTAATGTGAAGAGAACCTCGAGCTAGAGTTAAAACCCGCTGCTTCAGCCTGATTTGCTGTATCACCATTGACCAGTGAATAAACCCAACCATTTCGTTCTAAAAAATAATCCATTGCATCTATTTCATCTGTTCTAGACCGACTTTGATAAAACAGCTTTATTTAGTTTCGGTTTTCCAATTTAACGGTAGACCAAAACGCATACCATGAGGAGACGGAAATTATGCACAACCTTTACAAAATTAAACACTGGAAGCAACTCCTGATCGAATTGAAGGTGTTTAAATATTTTTTTTGTAGGTGAAAATGTTTTTGTACTCAAGGGTTAATGTTTGCGGTGAATCTTCCAAGCTCAGTATTGTATGCCTAAAATAAATTTCGGTGATTCCGTTTTGCCTGCTATTTTAAAGGCATGTCTAATCCATACATAAAAAGTTCCTGCTGACGTCAGCAACATACGTGGTCGGAGCATTTACGTTAATATGTTTAGAACATATAACGCAAGCCGTAAAAGTGTACATAGGGTTAACATCCCAAATGTCGCCCTAAGTGTCTGTAATACTGGACCCATACATACATTTCCAAGTAAAGCATTTTTTCTAAAAAACATTGAAGAACTGAAGATTTTAATCGATGGGTCCAATCTCAAGATCCAACATAAGAGCCATTGCCCCTATATTCAATTTTTGTATGTAGCATTGTGAAGAAAAAGTTTGTTTTGCTAACACCTTTGCACGGAAAAGCTGCCCACGTAAAACGAAACATTTATAGCTGACGCTGGTGAAAAAACAAAGTTCAACATTTCTCTGTTCTCCATCCATTTAAATCCCCACAAAGTACCCGCAATCCACCCACGCAAAACCTACACCAAAGCAAGGCACGAGGTACATAAAATATTCAGCAACCTTCCCCTTAATTTATACAACCGCATAAGCTCCGCCTCTACATGATGGCGCCTTTCATGGTTCTCATTTCCTATTTCCTTTTTACACACACCAGCCACCCACACCGATTCTTGCGTCCTTGCGCTCTTTGCCGTGTCCTTCAGAAGGATTTTCAACTGCCCAGAGTGGAAAACCCAGCACAAGGATTCATCGATGACGTAATAACTGTGCTCATCATGTGGTCTCCCGAGCTGAATCCAACACATACACGAACGCTCCAGCACAGCCGTTCTTCGTGCTGGATGCTGTGATACAATTTTCCTCTTCGTTTTATTCGGGCCAAAGCTTTGCTGCTCTGGAATCCTCAGCTTTTTCGCATAGCTAGTGAGAACGTCAGACAGCACGGTTTGCTGCATCGAACGATCTTTGTTTGCACTGTCCGTCCGGGTACCGTGTGTGCACTGGTGAAAATTCCAAGATTTAAAATAGTAAAAAAGGGATATAATCTCACTGAATTGTCTTTGGAAACAATCTACTCTAACGAAATTGTAACAATTAATTGCATTGTGATAAATAGCCAATTTTAAACGGAATTATTGTGTTAAGGTTGTTACGTAACGGTTGTAGTTGCAAAGTTTATCCAAAATCTATCAACAGTGAACACATCTAGTTGCTGGTCCCGAGGAGTGCACTAAACAGGTAAACTCTGCGGAAACTGCACAATCAGGAAGGATTCCCTTTAGCTAACCGATCAAATCAAATTTTCCGATAGATCAAAATGACGTCGATAAACGTGGACAAGTACAAGCTGTCTGACAAAACGGCCAAACTCACAGCGAAAGGTAAGTGTTACATAACGTTTTTCGTTTGCCTTCTTACGTCATCAAGATGGCGGCATGGGTGTGGAAAAATGCGAGTTGGTGGCTTGGAGTACAAAACAAGCATGTTAGAATTTTCTGATTATCTTTTACGCTGAATTTCAATCAGTTCATGCTACTTACAATGCATTAAATGGTTTTTTATATTCTTGAGGTCTTATCTGTACAATTATTAGTAATCTACTATTTTACAGTAGCGCCACCAAAAAGAGTGGTGAATGAAAGAAGCTTTAAGACACGTTTCCAACAAACGTTGTTAATTAGAACAAAATTTGATTTTTTTTTTAATCGCTTTCTTACTTATGCCAACAAGCAGTACTCAACTACTTAGTATCACTAATATTTTGAACTTTTGGAACATTTTGGTTATACAAATAGGGTAAATGTGCCAGTTATGGCACTAGTGCTCCCCTAATTCACCATGTTTAAAATAAGTTTCCACTATTTTTTAACGTAGTCCTACATAACAGCAGTGAGACTAACTTCCTGTGGAAGAAATTTTGGTTTATATTAAAAAATCAATATTTTATGCTGTAAGGCCAATTACAGGCCAACTAATGACATAACTTGTAAACTTCTCTTTCATTATTTTCAAGGGAAGCGTATCTTCCGAGGATGCACCGTAATTCATAAAAGATTGTATATATGTACTTCTGTACGATAGGAAAAAGTGGTGGATGAAAATTTAAATAATGCCTTGTATGAAAATCAGTTAGGATTTGATAAGAGTTTGTATGATTTGATAGGATTGGATAATCTTTGTTTCACATCCCCTGATTATTTCTCCATTTTTGCGGTACAATGTGGTTTTTAAACTCTTTCTAAGGCATCTTTTTTTTTGCTTCGTAACGTGGGTAGATCAACTTTTCGTGGTACGTTACGGAATGTAAGATCTACCACCGATTCCTAGTCCTGACTACTTAAAACTAGGGGAACAGGATTTTTCAGTAATATGTCCACCGAGGATGATCTTAAAACAAGAAAAAATGAGTTAGTTAGTTTTCATCTACGTGATTCGTAATCTTCTACATATTCGTTGTTCCCTAGGTTGGCGTGATTAAGACTAGGGTTCTGATGCATAGTCATTATCGGTGTCGTTGCTTAATTTTGTTGCTAAAGAATCCAATTTTTACTGACAAAGGGGCGCGCCTTTGGAGGGTATTTCAACACTCCGAAGGGTATAAATAGCTGGACCTTTCAATTAGAGTCGGATCCTTGCGATAAATGCAAGAATGACAACTGTAAAAAAAATCGAATACTTCATCATTTCTCAATAGTGATGGAGTAATACGACATGCACTAAACTAAGGACACGGAATATACTACAATAGATCAAATTACTGGTCGCAGTGGTGTCAGGTCCCGAACAGTGGGAAAAAGGCTTAGTTTTTTAACGTACCCCCACCCGGCGGTCAAGCACGCTCAATATCGTTTTTGTCATGTGCTTTTCGCATAGTGGGGGTTTACAAGCCCCAGATTGAGTATCGCTATTCAAAGGGATCATTCATAAATGACGTAGCATTTGAGGGTGGCGGGGGAGGTGTGGCTTCAGTTAGTGTGCCCAGCCATGTATTAGGTGTAGTAAAATACGGTACGAGGGGGAAGGAGGTCTAAAATTAATCAAAAATACACTACGTCGTTTATGAATGGTCTCTAACGAGTGGTAGTGATAGTAGTGCATTTTTAAGATTATTTACATGCTGTTGAAAAGAGTAGATTCTTTACAAAAACCGTTCCGTTAGGTTTTTGAACAAAAAGTTGAAAAAGTTCACAATTTCAACAATATATTTCTTAATCTATGATTTATTTAAAAAAAAAATCATGTGAAGTAAGTTTTATTCTCCTAGAAGCTACGTAAATAATCTGAACAAATTTTGTCGCGATTTGAATTTGTGAATAAGGTACATAGTTTGTATGGAAAAAAAAATATGCGAAACGAAAAGAAACTATAATTTGCATGTCAAAAATGTTCACATTGCTCAATTTTGCCAATCCCTGAAAAATACATCAGGCAAAACAACCGTTTGGCCAAATTTTTGATGGATATGCAGCCTTGGACGAAGTTATTACGCATAGTTTTCCCAATAGAGATATACGGAGTGATTTGAGATTTAGGCGTAATTGCATTTGTAAACAAACACGTCAATAACCGATTTCTCGCGAATAAAAGTTCAATCTCGAAAAGTAATAACACTATAAGGTAGAGGAATGATTTCTCTATCATTTGGTATAGTTTGTTTGTGAGATTGAGCTCTTATTCAAGAAAAATCAGTAATTGACGTGTTTGTTTACAAAAGCAATTACGCCCAAATATCAAATCACTCCGGATATACGTAAATCTTTGACATGCAAATGATATTTTAATCCCGTTTCCCAAACGTTAATCCAAACAAACTTTAAAATTCTCCCGTAAATTGAAATCACATCCAAAATCATTCAAATTTGGTACAGTTTTTGATCTAAGGAAATCATACTGCATAAAAAATTAATAAAATGCTGGTGCGATTATTATTATTATTATTATTGAACGTTAATAACATACGACATTTTGAAAGAAAATATCTTTGGGTTTGGAGAAATATTGGTTTAATACAAAAAGTTACAAGTTGGTGGAATGGTGGTGGAGATAAAAGAGCGAGTGTTTTTTGACGTATAATTACATCTCTTGACAACATATTGGGGGTGCAATTTCAAAAAACCAAAATTGACCGTATTACGAAAAGTGGTCAAGTTTTGACCACATATAAATCTGTCAATAACGGATGGATTTTAATTCTAAACAAGCCAATCGATTTGAAATTTTGCTACAAATCTGTTAAATTGAACACTTAATCAATTTTCAATAGGTCATTACTGAAAATTACACAAATGTCCAACTGTTGCAATAGTGATTAAAATTAGCGGTGCCGGTGGTGTAGTGGTAAGCGTGATTACCTCTAACCCCAGCAGGCCTGGGTTCAATCCCAGTCGGCGCCGCCGAGATGTTCTGAGGCATAACATCTCTGATCACGCCTTCCTTCGGAAGCCGTTGGTCCCCGGTTCATGAGTTGATGGGTCGATAGGTAGGGTCCAGGTGTGGGAGCTGCCTTCCTGGCGTCGGTAGCATTGGTGCTCAGCAAGGAAAACAAGATCGACGGAAAACAAACCAAAGGAAAAAAATAGTGATCAAAATTACCACCGATTGCCTGCAAACAGCGCATTCCCTAACACAGATTTCACAATCGAATTCGATCCTGTCTTCCTGAACGGTGCTTATTTAATCACCGTGAGTGGTGGTACCCAGTCGGTCGTCAGCAGCAGCAGCAGCATCAGGAGTGCTTACGGCGCGTAGCGTTGAACATTGTACACAACGAAAAGCTGCCCGCAAGCAGCGAGCTGCAGCCGACATGAGCGTCCATTCACTGAAGAAGGAGGAAGAAGCCTCACCGATCGGGATACAGCGTCGTGAGTCGCTGTGGGCCATCTATGCCGAGCGCGTCACCCTCGTACCAAAAACAAATTACAGATCGGCAACTTCATCCGTGTTGAACACCTTAATAGCTCAGCATTACTCAACCATCACAACAAAACGGTCAATTTCTGGGCCGCTATAAATTTGATAAAGAGTATTTTTGGACATTTGTCAATGTCATAAATAGGATGTCAGTTCCCATATGTTAAAATCTAACATACCGTATATTTTAAGGCAACATTGGCAGAATTCAAAGTCGGTCGTGGCATGAAAATGTCTGATTTTGATCCAGAGATTTTTCTACGAATATGTTAAAATTAAGTATTTATCATTTTTCAAAATGTCACTATTGCAAATTGCATGAATGTGCAACTGTTGTAATGGTGATCAAAATTATATTGCCTGCAAAAAGTGATTTCCCTAACATAGATTTCAAAATTGAATTCCATCCGATCTCGCCAAACGGTGCTTATTCGATCGCCGTGTGTGGTAGTGTCCGGTCGGTCGACATCATCAGCAGCAGCAGCTTAGTGCTTTCGGCGCATGGTATTGAACATTGTTCTCCAGTGCACAACGAGAGGCTGCCCGCAAGCAGCGAGCTGCAGCCCACATGAGTCCGTTCACCTAAGAAGGAGAAAGAAGACGCACCGCTACTGATCTGATTCAGTAGCTCTTCATGAATCGCTGTGGGTCATCTACGACAAGCGCGTCACGCTCGTTCTCAACAACATACAGTTCGCCATATAAATTTTCCCTTTTTTTAATAAACCGAAAATTATGTGCGTTTTGTGATCAAAAATGCGTAATTTTGTCATGAGAAAACGAGGCTTTTCCGTGATAGGAAAAGCAAGGTTGCAAATACTCATTTCAGCTTAAACATTGTTTTTTTTTTTTAATTATGAAGTAATTAGATGCCATGATCAAATTTTGAATTGGTAGGATACAAGAAGAGGTTGCAAAGAATGTGTTTGACATATTAAACCTGTTTATTTCACTTCATGAGAGTCACAATCAGCGATTTTTCACAAACTCACTAACTCACTCACTCACTCACTCAGCGATCCGAAAATCGCTGATTGTGACTCATAGAATGCAAAATTTACAGGTTTTATATTTCAAACGCATACTTTGTAACCTCTTCTTGTAAGTTACAAGTAAAACATATCATCATACCATCTTTTGGTTTTATTATTCCGAAAAACATTATTTTAGCTGAAATGAGTATTTGCAACCTTGAGGAAAAGTGTTTTCCCCAAAACAGTCGCCAAATATTGATACCGAGTACGTAATCCTACTTCAAAGCTACGGTAGTGTCTTGGATATAACCAACTATCTATTGAATTAACCAAAAGTTCTGTTTGTTTGGTGTACGAAAATGCGTAATTTTTACATCAGAAAACGAGGCGTTTCCGTGATGGGAAAAGTGGTTTTCCGAACACAGTCACCGAATATTGATTCCAAGCACTGAACATGCCAGACCGTACCTATCTTTATGCCTTTTGTTGTAAATTTT